GTGCTATCAGTAAATTGACCAGGGCGCATTTTAGGTTGTTTACCTCCAAATCCAACATTCATTCAGCTTGCTACCAATGCATCTTCAGCGAAGGCTCTATGACTAGAACTGTTGCCAAATCCAAAAACAAGCATTGTATCTAGAAGTGCAATTTCCAAAATATCAATTGCCCATTCAAGTTGCTTAGCTAGCAATTGAACATTCTAATAACCTTCATAATTTGTACCAATTTCCAACAGCTCTGTAATGTAATGTTTTGAAATTTCAGGATGGGCTGCATATTGCTTTTCAGTTAAATGTACTCGACCCAGTAGCTCACACAAAAATTCACTAACATGGATGCATCGACCCCATCCTTTTGGATATATTTTGTATTCATCTATTAATAATTAAAAGTAAAAGATTTAGCTTTAATAAAAAATATATCATAATTTCATTAAGCAAAAGTTGGTCTAAGAATAACAAACAACCTTTAGGCCCCTATCTTGTTTTCTCATCATTATTTGCAACTAACATAGTCTTATCATATGTTATTACACAATACTGCTTTTTTTCAGGAGGAATATTCTTCTCTACTAGTTTAGTAAGATTTTTGTCATCGTATTCAATAAGAACAGGTTCCAATTCCTTCATCATTGGCAAAAAAACTGTTTGTCTATATTGTACTATGTCTTCTTGCTCATGTCTATCAACATATATATATTTTTTCCACTCTTTACACTCCCATCTTAATTTTCTAAGCCATTCCTATGCTGTTTTCTCACATATTGTTGTCTTTTTTTCGATGCCTAAAGATGGGAATATCTTATTCTCTACATATTTTTTTAGAACTTTAGAATTCACGCTAAACTTATAACTTCTTAGATATGACATTATCTATTCAAAATATGATTTTGTGAGTTGCAAAGAATTAAAGCATTATGTACAAAATTATTATAAAAAAAAATACATACCTTCATAGAAATTCTCTTATCATCAATAAGGCTTGATACCTTTGTAAATTTATCACGATTATCTTTTAGAAGTTTTCACCATTTTATCCAATTTTGTGCCCATGCACCAATACATTGTGCTTTATAATTTTTTCACCCTAATGAACTAGCAATTGTCATGCTTGTGTTTATTCTATTCTGACCATGATAGTATCTTAATCATAAATATTGCAATGATGCTTGCAAATGAACCCTTACACCTTTATCCATTTGATTGTTATCCTTTTTTAATATCCTATCTAATTCTTTAATTGCTAGCCTTATTTTTGTTTTCTTATCAATTTCCACTGATACATCTGCTGATTTTACTTCTGTTA